GACTAACTGCTTTGTAGACTAGCCAACTAACAACTATTCCCGTATAATAACGTATGCGTAGTATTAATTTATAGACTGTGATGCTTTTACACTCTTTAAGCGTTTCTGATCACTCACTTCGCTGTTTTCCAATTTCTCGAGTCGAAATCAGCGGGAAATGTGGTTAGTGTAGCCCTCCGCGTGCAATTTGCCAAGTAAGTTGAACTTTCGGTATTAATTCAGTGTTATATACGGTTCACGACACGTTTCCGGTTTGCTATGCTTTGGCTTTGGATTTCTCACGCAATTCGAACGAAAATTTTACTCCTTGTTGCACAACAATTTTATAACAAATTATTAAGTTGTATAAAAGAATTAATGTTTTGTAGATACAAAGATCGTAATTTGTCATAATTTTATAATTATATTGTCATTATGAAGAATTCAACGTTTCATAGTAAGTTATGATTTATCATAGTTTCATGATAGATCATTGTTATCAGAAATTCAACGTATCCAATGATCGTTGAGGGCGAAGCAAGCCTCAAGTTGATCGAGTTAGTTTAGCTCGGTGTTGGCATTTCTGTTCATAAAAATTTCACAAACGTTCAGAGTTCAATGCAGTGGAATAAAAATGGCAAAGGGAGCATCGGCCGCACTCGCGATACGATTGGAAATTGCAATGCACGCTGAGCTCACAAGTTGACAAGCATGTTAAAGTAGACAAACCCATTGTGAACATCCTTTAGCCATAGCTAACAAGAAGAACACCTTGCCTGTGCTCTCCTTCCTCTTTCACTGTTTGGTTTGCTTTCTTCTCTCTTCCACGATCTTCGCTTCTCGCTTCAAAAGAAAAAAAAAAAAAAAAAAAAAAAACAAACAAACGAAGTTCGAAACGAAAGCAGCAAGAGAAGGTAGCATGGGAATAATGTGTGAAAGTAAGTTGATGAACAGGCAATAAAAGTTCGAGGAGAAGGAAAGAGAGAAATTCTTCGTGAGGAAATATAGGGAAGACAAGTTGTTTTCTGTTTCTCGGGGTTGCCGCGGTTTCAGGCGTGCTTTAATGCGAGCTGTGTGTTTTCCTTTGAAACGGATTTCTAGACCGGTCTGAACGGGGTGAAACCTGCCATCCCGCCGAGGGATCAAAAGAGGGCACCTGCCAGACCCCCGAAAGATAATCTACGTTTGTCCACGCAGAACAACAATGTGGAGAGCACCGATAACGCGAACGCCGAGCCCACGCAACAGCAACTGCACTCCATCAGAAAATACCAGGTACGACATCTTTTTTTTTTTTTTTTTTTTTTCTTTCTCTTTCGTTAGGAAAGTTTTCTCTCATTCGATCGTTCGTCTCGTTCGATATAGAGGAGAGAAGATACATCACGCTTGCATCTCTTCGCGCTCGTTGCTGCTTCGAATACCTCGACACGTCTCGATAGAGATCGGTGAATAATTCAACGTGGAATTAACGATGGATGTTACAGCTCCCTCTTCCCCCCCCCCTCCTTAGTTACGAATTCTACGTTCTTCTTCAACCGATTGCACTCGCAGACACGCGATTGCGTTCGTTCTCTCCGTTGTTACGCATCGAAAAGTAACGCTTGGAAAGTAACGCTTGTTGTGTATTTGCAAATGCGCGAGTTGCAGAGGCGGCGACCAATTGAATCTGTTAGAAACACTTTTAGCTTTGAAGATTAATTTAATGACAGGAGAATGTCGTCCAATTTCGTCTTGTATTTATATTTATCAGATGAACATTTAATTACAAGTGGACAAAGTTATAAGACACTTTAGAGCAAAATGTGATTCTCGGGTATTTAAATATCTGTTTTCATTGTGATTTTGTATGAAATTAGAATGGATGGGGAACTAATTAGAAATTGGTATGAGATTAATTGGAAATCAGTATAAAGTTAAAAAAAATAAATTAGTAAAGTAAAAG